CGTGCAACGCTAACCGGTGTAGGGGATGGTTGGAAGAAAGTTAGGGGCGGCCAAACCAAAACGTGGCATCAGTGCCTGAAGTCACTAACTTCTAGTCTGAGCCATGTTGGTAGATGCAGACTACTTGGTTGGGGTCCGCGTGACTTTCGTAACAATGGTTGGAGACTCTTGGTGACATGGCTCAATCGATCACAATGGCGTCGGTGTATACACTCTCTGTCTTCTCTTAAACTAAGAGATTAAGATCACTTCACATCTTTCTTTCTACGAACTAATTCTTTCTTCCTATACTATATCCTTATTGCAATCTTTCTCCTATATATTACCACCTTTGACCTAACCACTCCTATGAATCCGGTGTTCATCTTGCTGTGCTAATGAGGTATGGCAACCTGGGCCGATGCATACATGTGCCTGGTCCTACGTTGTAGCTGACTGACTGACTATATTAGTCAAACTGATTCCTCTGTGATTGTCACAAGAGGACTTTTGTCCTTTCTTATAGACTGGCACAATCAGTGATTGAGACCAGTCAGATGGGATTACGTCCAGTTCCCAAATTCTACCTAAGACCTCAGTTAATCTCACTGCTAATACTGGACCACCATCCTTAAAAATCTCAGGAGTAAACCTGTCAGGGCCTGCTGCTCTCCCTCGCTTCAGATTTCCTATGGCTTTTTCAACTTCGTAAAGAGTCGGAGGACCTACATTAACTTGCCATTCAGGTTGACTGGAGATCGTGGGAAACCGAAGTGTGGCTGAAGGCCAGTTGAACTGATCCCTAAAGTGTTCTGCCCATCGATCCAATCTCCTGGATTGAGAATGTATAATATGTCCATCTTTCTCTGAGATTGTTTCGCTAACAGTCAGGTTCCTAATACCGGTTTCCTTAACAAGTCTGAACAATTGTCTGCTATTACCTATTGCCGCTGCCTTTTCCATCTCTCTTGCTTTCGCTACCCACCACTGTTCACGATCATTGCGTAGACTTCTTGTCAGCTTGCGCTTAAGCTGACTCCGCTCTTCATTATGTTCAGAGCCAGGTGGAATGAGTTTCCGAGCATCTATCAGTGCGATAGATGCTGCTGAGATCCAGTGTTGCTCCCTAACCTTCTGGTTTACCTTACTAGCAGATATCACTGCTGTTTCCACAGCTTTTCGGATATCATTCCATGCTGCATCGGGGTGGGCATCACATACATGGCTGCCTAACTGTTTTCCTAGTTGTTCCTGAAATATACTCTTAGCTTGACTATCATTAAGTAGGGCCCTAAGAGGTTTCCTTGCAGCGTCTTTCCTACGTCCAGTAAGACGCAGGCAGATACGCGCTCGCACTAGAGCATGATCTGAATCTAGGCATGTGCTCCAGAATGAGCGACAGTCTTCTATCGAGCCCCTCCATCGGTGGCTGATAGCGATGTGATCTATTTGGGTCCAACGTTGGGACGAATTAGGGGGTCGCCATGTTAAAAGATGTTTTTCCTTATGCTTAAAGTTAGTATTTGCAAGGAACAGGCGGTTATCTGAGCATAGCTGCAACAGACGGTCGCCATTATCTGTTCTTTGAGCCACGACACCATAGGATCCACCTAGGTGCCTGTTGTCCAATTTGGCACAGTGTTCGGACGTTAAAGGCTCCTACGTGTAGTTTAGAGCGTGGTTTCAGGATACCAGGAATAACGTTCCGCGTACTCGAATCGTTTGCCCTAGCGGTGCGAGGTGATAAAGAGACGTGAGGAGGGTTAGTCATGGAGATAAGAGAGGTATTAGGAGGTGTAGGAAGGATTTGACTGTGACCAACTTGGTCTCGTGTGCTGTTATGGGTATGAGAGCTGGTGTCACTTCCCGGCTGCCCACACCGTGGAAGGGTATTTCTCGAGGAACCTGAAAAGGAAGTCGGATTAATGTCGGCCTTAACGACCTGGGAGCGTGACCGCAGAGCCCAAGGGACTACTGCTTGAGGCCGGTCGCGCATGGCCTTTTCGTGGAAGGTCTTTAATGTATTGAGATTAGATGGTGGTTGGAGGTAATCAACAGGAAACCCTGGACCCGGGTTTCGTGCTACTTGGCACTCGTCAGCAAGGTGTACCTGTAATCTTGAGGGAACTGGTGCTCCCTGGCGGATTCGATCTCGTGTCACCCAGCTTCACAGTCAGAGACGTTACCACTGAGCTATCCGAGCCGTGACTGACCTCCTGTAGGACTGAGATGTAATCACAATTGATTGATCACTGGGTGGTGATCAATCTCATGCTTGTCTAGTCCTTATTAGTGCAGATCGAATGCTATCGATCATGTTGCAATGTGGCCACCAGTCTAGGTGACTCGACACAGCTATCGTTGCAGATGCTGGTTGTCTGAGGGAAACACCTTACTGCTGTCACATCTCTCTACAGTCAGCAGTACGACTTCTCCCTCAGACCTTGAGTTGCTGCTTTTAGTCTTACCGTTCTCCAATCGACCTGCCTGGCATGGTAGAACTTACAGGAACATACGTTCCAGCCAATATAGCTCGGTTAGGTCATCACGATAGGCAAGCCCGACCACCGCGTCAAGGTAGCAGCTTCGGTCGGGACTCTTTGTTTGATCATCGTTGTCTCCGAAGGATTGCTGACATCCAGTGGCAACACCATGTTAGTAATGCACAGGTTCGGCATCGTGTGTTCTGGCACAGAGATGATAATGCAATTGGTGTCATCATCTTGAAACACCGACTTCGGTGGCTTGGACATGTTCTACGAATGTCGTCCCAGAGAATTCCACGTCGTGCATTATTTGCCGACTCTGGGACTGGTTGGAAGAAGCGGAGAGGTGGTCAGTATATGACATGGTGTCGTGGTATGAAAGAAATCTGCAAAGGGCTGGCTTCTGTTGGTCCTTCACGACTCCCTGGCTGGGGTCTGAGAGATGATGGAACACAGTGGCTAGAGACGTTATCAGATATGGCTCAGAATGGAAGCCAGTGGCGATCCTGTTGTAACCTTTTACTTCCTTCATAAAACGTGGTTGTATCTTCCTTAACCGAAAGATTTCTTCCGATTGTACCTTTCGCTTTCCCCCTTTATTATTATTACACTCTCTGGTAATTCATTCGAAGCGTCCAAGGAACCTCGATTTGGATACGCGCAAAATCGACGTTCCAAAACAACGATTTGTCTACAAAAGCGGTTCTTTATTAAATAATACACAAAATTTAGTTACAAACCTCAACTTGTGAGGTTTCTAGGCGTTTAAACGCGTCGTTCAAGAATGAAAATAGCAAAGGCTTCCTGTAAGAGTAACATAAAGAATGATTACAACATACGATAGTCGAAAGACAGCCGATAACTGTGTCTAAATTTGATAACAGTTTATGAACAACCGAAACTCGAACCAAGAGCAAACAATATGGAAACTGTTGCGTTTAAACAAATGCATAAAACTGTGGATAACCGTTACAGTAATTAAATTACAGTGATTATAATGATAAATACAATGATAAGTAAAATAAACGTTAAAGATATATGTGAACATTCCAGAATGTTACAGCACAACTTGAGTTGCAACGTAAGTGTGAAAATTGTTGGGCATACAGCTGCCTACTGAATGTAAATAAGTTGTATAAAACAACATACAAAAGAGTAGAAAAGGAACTTGTAGGAACAATGTAAAACAAATTAAACACTATCTTACACTAATATGTGGTCGTTTGTGTTCTTTTTTTTATTATACGCTCCTTACCTTTTTTTCTCTTCGAATTCTCATTGTTTTGTGTGGCGCACATATATTTGGTGCCCCCCTTGTACTAATATTTATGTGTTCAAAAAATAATTAAAGCATTTGGGTTTAAGGATCACAAACGCTTTTACACAATAATACAAACTCATCACGTTTCTGTTTGAATATTCGATGTAACAATTCCATGTGATAAGGACTTAGTGCAATAGTTTATATAAATCCAGTTTTTGCAGATTTAGTATCTCCTGTCACTAATATGAATATCTTCAGAAAATATTTCAGGTTCAAATGTCAAAAGAAAACTGAGTTAAGAAATATTTCGGTTGTAACTATACTTAGAAAGTATGTCTTCAAAATTAGCATTATCTAGCTAGACTGTGTTGCTAGGGTATAAACTTTTCAATATAATGATATCAATGTTTCCGAATATGCGTAAACCACATTGGAGTTACAACTTAGTTTCACTAGTGACTTTAGTATTTCTCCATTTTCTCTGGAAGTCAGTATCATCTCAAAGATTTGTGTGGTGATTATTAGCTTTCAGTATGATATCTAATCTCGTATTACTGCAGAAAATTATAATAAATACAGATTTCTGTCTCTTATAAAATATCCTCATCTTATTGACTAAATCATCCATGATGAGACTAAATTGTCACCTGCCCATCTAGCTTAAAATGAGTCTCCTTTTACGATGTTTTGTCTTTTTTTTTACATTCCTGTTGTCATACCTTCACCCTATCAGCATTCTTCAAGTGTTTACTTTTACAGAAGAATAGCTTTCCGTCGGCATATGTTCTCTGTGTATAGCGGGGATCGATCCTACTCTGTTTTTGATGCTCATAATAAAATAATTGCCATTTCAAATTTGTGAACAAAGTTACTGAATATGAAAAAGTTACGAGTTTGTCACTTTTTAATTCAGGGGCTTGCTTTGTTTTCATTTATAAGCAGGTCATAGACGGTTATTTTTATGAAACAATTTATACCACTCTAGTGCAAATAAATACTTAGTTAGTAACTACATAATAATCAGTGAGTGAGTGAACAAAGTTGACGTCGCAAAAGTAAGTCTATTTTTTATATACCTGGAAAAATTTTGTTGGCTTGTGTATCATTTGTTTACGACCCGTTGTATTCTCCTTTAAAGCATAAGTGTTTCCGTAATATAAATTAAGTGTCATATTTTATTCAGCTGGCATTTTCCAAGTTTTGCAGTTGGGATCGGAGCTTTAGTATATATAAACCTCAGCCTATTAATCCGGTGCCTTTGGATTTTATAGGTATTTGGTCCTTCCTATGGTTGATTGCGTTTTGCTTACTTTGCAACCGCTGGCAAAATACAGAACAAGATTTTCTCACTCAGAACGACGTTTCACCTAATGGACCGCGGACTGCTATTGCATTCAGTTTTTTCAGTATGGTTGTATTAGTAAGTTTCGTTAAGCTTACTTAAACTTTTATCGGCTGTAGGTTAGCTCAGTTGTAACAGCTTTGATTCGGATGTTGACTAATATAGCTTTTCTATTATTGAGGCTCAGTTTTGACTAGATAATTAGCTTGTTGATTTCTCTTCCACCTTAAAGAAAACATGGACTATTCGGATTATATTTGTATATAAATATTAAGACGGCTGGATGAGATTCCGTTAACCGGGAAATTTTGTAGTAGTGTTTCATTAAAAGGTGTAACGAAGAAAAACATAAATCTTTTGAATGCTGTACTTTGTATGCTAATAGTTGGATTACAGATTATGGCATAGTGTCATCAAACTAGTGAACCTCAAGTCAGGATTGCACAATAACCCAATTCTCTCGTAAAAGTCCTCCTAGGAATCTCATTTTACTCGTCTGACTTTTTTGAAGTAGATCTAAGGAGGGAGTCGATGATGTAGTTAGAATACGCAGATAAGCCAGCCATGTTTACTGAAGACGACAAAATATATCCTGATTGTCTTGAACTACAATGCAAACGTGTTTAACATGTATTTCACATCCTCGAAATACAAAATTTCGCTTTAATATCAATCTGCATTGCTGCCTAAATTGTTAATAGGAATTGAAGTACCTGAATACGTTCACTACTTGGTTTGAAAGTCCCGTCAGCCCTAGTGTATTTTTGGTATCTGATGAAACCTTCATATAGATTCAGAGATCTTACTCGGCTTTTGCAAACGTACGTTACTTGTGATGTATGCTAGATATCCGTTTACCAACCAAAAGACAAGTATACTCCACAGCAGTCAGCTCTGTTTTACTGTGTGACCGTGTTTCGTGTGTTTTTATGATTTGTTAAATTTTCCTATTGTTAAAATCAATGGATAGAATGCTAGTCGATAGACGAATACAATGATATATGGTTTAGTAATGAATTCTCACCGGAACAAATGGTTGATTTGAAATTCTAAATGATGTGAAATTAAAACCACGACCACTAGGCAAATGAATGGGTTTTCTCGCGTACACCAAATAAACATGATATAACTTCATAGGCAATTAGAAGGAATTATCTTGTAGGTCATTTATTATTTATTATTATTTTATTATTTAAACACATAAACATTGGTACAAGGAGGCACCAAATACATGCGCCACATAAATCATTCGATTTGTGTGAGGGCTGGGATACTGTACAGATGCCCAAACCGAAGTGGGTGGTTTCCTTAATAGGTCACGCCCGCAGCCTTTGACCTAAAGGGCTGATCCATAAAGGAGTGGAGCATCGGGAGGAGATGCAGTCCCATGGTAGTCGGTGACCAGCGACTGGTCCATACGCCATTTGTTCATTCAGGATACTGGAGCCCATGTGCACCATTCTTCAGTCAATTAATACCTGTCTGTTAGACCTACTTTTCAGATTTCACATCACATACTATAAGACGTGGAGTTTAAAAAGAGAATGTATTCGTAAGTTACTAGTATTTGGTCACAAATCCCTTCTGAGTGTATGTTGTAACTACTGGACGAACAGTGCTGATGTTAGACTCAGGGTACTTTATATGTATGAAAATTTGGTACATATATCAACTGAGACTGTTGGAACGTTTACTGCATATGGTCACCTACCGTCTACCTCGACACGCGATGGCTGGTGTAGGAGTAGGTTGGAAGAAGACTATGTCAGCCAAACTAAAATATGGAATCAGTTCGTGAAGTCATTGACTGTTTAACGAAGCCATGTACGTATGTATGGACTGTTTAGTTGATGTCCTCGCGATTATCTTAACTAATGGTTAGATTTTGGGTAACATGATTTGGAATCGTTCATAATAACAGGTGCATTCACTCCATATCTTCCTTGGAATGCTAAGTTTCCTGTCCATCTTTAAAAAATTTCCACCAATTCATATTTTCTCAAATTACATAACTTACAGCTAAGATTTTCTACTACCACGTATACTGTTGCTATTGATACTATGGCTGTCGCATATACTGCAGCGTCTATGCTGCTCATAACAAACAGATAATCATTTATGAGAGGGAAAACATCTTAGTCATTCTATAGTTGCTTCAAATATTTTTTGTTAAATTCAATTAAACCTAAAAAGTTTGGAATTCCACCATTTTCATACTAACTTTTTGTTGAAATATGTGAAAAAATTATAAACCAGTTGTGTGGTGCTTTTGTGACTAATTTTATCGGGGAAAAGTGATAACTATGTTCACTGAATAACACTAAGTTTGTGACTAGTTGTTATAACTACTCTTTAGCCTCTAATTGCTGGCTAAACTTATTTTAATAAGTTCTTGGAATTTATGTATATTGGTCACCACCCATCCCAATTCAAATGGTGAACTTGTCATCAGCAATTTTGGACCTTTGACACGATCTGGCGTATAGCGTTCAAACTTTTGATGAGTATATTACTTTAGATTTGTTGAATAGCATTTCTAAAAACTAACCAATTCGTAATGCAGCCTAAGCCATCACATAATTTCAGTAAATTCCGTAAATCAAGGCGAATCCGAATTCATTTTGTTTTATTCACCCATACTTTTCCAAATGTGACAGTGAAGTGTAGGCTGATAACGTGCCGTCTATTCAGCTTAGTACATTCCTGGATTTTTTAATAAGTTAGACATTCATTTTCATAAAGGATTTTGCACTATATAAATCAAATGACTCCACTTACAAAATACAACAAAGTAAACAGCTAACGTGTTTGTTGTTTCTGCTTTCTCCCGTGCTTTCGTCGCGTACTCTTTACAGCTACTCTTCTTTTTCCGAACTATCTGCAGGCTTTGTACATGGTTGAGCGAGATTAATTTGAGTTACTTATGAGACGTTAATCTTATGTTATGGCCTCTTACCACGTTTCTACATTGAACTCCGTTCTGCGCAATCCTTTCCAGGTGTTTCCACTCCCCTCTTTTGATTTGTGCATCCAATTCCGACGCAGTGTGATTCCCGGTCTTCCTCTTTTCCGTTTCGCTTAACGATTCCAAGTTCATTTCATCGTAGACCTACTAATGGAAATAATGTTCTCGTCGACTGAATTCTCGGGCATTGATCTCCCTTTAAGAGGTCCACCTATCGACTTAGAATACGCAAATGACATAGTCCTGTTTGGTGAAGACGCTGATAAAGTGCAGTCTTTTGGCAGCACTAAACAACAATGCCAGGATGTTTGGGATGCGTTTCTCTCTCGCTAAATGCAAATTGTTGCTTCACGACTGGTCTGCGTCAACACCTGAACTAAGGATAGGGAGTGAAGTGGTCGAACACGTCGACAACGTCACTTATCTTGGAAGTCTGATCAGCCCCAGTGCGTTAGTGTCTGGAGAAATCTCAGCACGGATTCAGAAAGCTCTTTTGGCTTTCGCCAACTTACGCCACCTATGGGGGAGGCGAAATATCCATCTATCAGTTAAGGGACGAGTATACTACGCAGCAGTTCGTTCTGTTTTACTTTGTGGCTGCGAAACGTGACTATTAAGAGTAGAAAATACTCGTAAGTTACTAGTATTTGACCACAGATGCCTTAGAAATATTGCCAGCATTTGTTGGGATCACCGGGTAAGTAATAGTGAGGTTAGATGCAGGATATTAGTGAATGATTGTAAATCAGGTAATGAGGATGTGAATCTTCATTGACTGGGATGGTTGGGCCACGTAGTACACATGCCCAACCGCCGACTACCACGACGCGAAATGCTGACTAGGGTTGGAGACAGATGGAAGGTTAGGGGCGGCCAAACCAAAACATGGCATCAGTCCATAGAGTCACTAACTTCTAGGTTGAGTCATGTTGGTAGATACAGACTACTTGGTTTGTGTCTGCGTGACTATCGTAACCAATGGTTGAAGACTCTGGGTAACATGGCTCAGAATCGTAGCATCGCAATCACCATTAAAGTAACTGCTTCCATGTATTAGGTGTTCATGTTGTTGTCCTAATGAGGTGTGTCAACTTGGACCGATGCATATATGGGCCTGGTTTTACTTAGTAGCTGACTAACTGATTCCAAGTTATCGCTTGCCTCGTGATGTAGTTTGATGATTACCTCAGTGCACATCCTATCCACTTCCAACATCTTTTCCTAATTTCCTCTTGAGCTGGAAGTTGGTTCGTCCTCTCCCACAATGGGCTGTTGTTGGTGGTATCCGGTCAACGGATATTCAGTATCTTACGTAAACAATTGTTTACAAATAATCATACCATTTTGATGATGGTTTTATCAGTTCGCTCCGCTTGCTTTACCAATCCATGTTTTCATATCTGCATCAGATTCCCCTTGTTTATCTATAACGCTCCCAGGTACGTTAAGAGTTTTCACATCTTCCGGAGCATCTCCATCAATTGTGGTTTGGCTGGTGCTCGCTGTGTTATATTTCAGTATCCTCTTGCCTTGTGGATGTTGAGACTTATTGCTCCAGAAGCTGCTGCTACACTGTTTGTCTTCACCTGCATTTGTTTCTGTGTACAGGGTAGAATATTTAAGGGATCCAAGAAGCCTTGATTGTGGAGTTGCGTCCGAGGTCTCCGTGCTTCTCTTGAGATGTGAAGGTTTTCACAATCCAGTCAACTACCAGAAGAAAGAGGAAAGGCGAGTGTAAGCAGCGTTGTCTGACACCGGTCTTCACGTACAATGAATCTGTGAGTTATCCTTCATGCACCACATTGTGGTGTCGCCCGTCGTAAGAATTTCGTATGATGGTGACGATCTTGTCAAGTACACCATAGTGTTGAAGAGGGTCGCATAACGGTTTACTATCCGCGCTGTCAAACGCTTCCTGATAGTCAATGAAGTTGTGCAGTGACGATAAGTTCAATTTGATTGTTTGTTCAGCAATGATCAATGGAGTCGCGATTTCAACAGTGCACAACAAATCCCTGCGGGATCCAGCCTGTTGATCTCGATGCTGTGTATCTTTTGAATCTTTCATCCTGTTCGGCAACACTCTGCTGAAAACTTTTCCTGGTACTGACAG